GAGCCGCGGTGATGCAGAGGCTTTCCTGCCCGCAGCCGCTCGGTTTGGTGGAGGCACGCTGCACGTGCATGGCTCTCCGCCGACTTGCTTGTTTCCATAGCTTACTGCTGTTTCTCCTGCCTCACCTTTTGCTCCCTTTACAGCGGCATTATTTGTCTCTGCTTCATCTTTTACTTCATACTCAGTGGATTTACCTGGCTGTATGCCAGTGGCTACAGATATGCCCACTTACCTATGCAGAATAGACCGTCTGCAGTAATCCTTCCCAAATCCTCTGCGGACATCGCTGAAACCTGCAGCCAAGGGCTCTCTAGAGCATCCCTCTAACACGAGCGCCGATACTTGCAATATCGTTGCAGCGCGGTGACGCTGCTTTGGGACACCGTGGGCTTCGCGGCAGGGCTATGGCTTGTGGAGGCAGCTGCACCTCCACATGTGTGCTGGGGTCGCACCGGGACGGCTCTGGGAGCATTTTTCGCCTTGGGTTTGTGGGTTAGACCCCAGCAGAAAGGCTGTCTCCTGTGCTCCCCGCAAGTGCCTCTGCTGCACTGCCAAACCCTGAGTTATGCCCTGGGCTGTGCTGGCAGCCCCCAACTTGTGCAAATATGGCAAAAATGGTGATTTAGTTAAATGCCTCTTACGGGATTGCATGTACAGGGCTACAGCTGAGGGAAAACTTGGCTCTGGCTCGGGAGCTGTCGAGGTATAAATGGGAACAGGGCCCATCTCCTGCTCCAGCTGTCCCCTCTGCAGCACTCACTGGAGTAAAAATGCCCCAGCTTCCACTTTTGCCCATGGGAATCTGATGGAGATAACCTCAGAGCGGGGCTGTTGGCACTGCTTTTGTCCCTGACCCTGCTCAGAGGGTGCAGGTGGTGCACGGCGGAGGGGAGGGCTGGTGGCAGTGCCTGTGTGAGCTGGGGGATGCTGGTGTGGCACAAGAGGACGGTGCCCCATGCCTGGCAGTCCTCATGTGCACCATCCCCGAGCCAGCTCTTGGGTGGCGAGTGGCTGGCCCACGTCCATACACATCGCTGCTGTCAAACCAAACCATCGCTCGGGAAAGCTCCATTCTCGCTCGAGAAGTTAATGCTGCTTCTTCGTCCTCCCTGTCAAAGGCACCTTCCCTGAGGATGCTCCCTTCTTTCTCGGCAGGATGAAGAGAGCCCAGTTTGGCCCCCACGACTGGCTATCTCTCCCTGTGCCAGCTGGTTCCAGTTGGCTACTGGTGGATACCTTGGAACCGGAGACTGCATACCAGTTCAGTGTCTTGGCTCAAAACAAGCTGGGTACCAGCTCCTTCAGTGAGGTGGTCACTGTGAACACTCTAGGTAGGTCCTCTGTGGGCACAAGGGGAGGAATGGGAAAGGATTCAGGAGGTCCCTAGGGACAAGTGGCCCTTTGCCTTGGTCCGTGTGTCCTATCTGCTGGGGACGGAGGTGGTGGGATTCAGGAGGTCCCTGGGGACAAGTGGCCCTTTGCCTTGGTCCATGTGTCCTATCTGCTGGGGACGGAGGTGGTGATCAGCAGCAGTAGTTTCCAGCTGCGTAGAAGATAGTTCGTGGAGGATCCTGGATGAAGCTTGTAGACTTTGCTGGATGCATGAGGCTCCTGAAAGCTTGTCCTAAGAGACAGCGTGGGAGAGCTGTACTGTACCAGTCACCTCTCAGATCCTCCTTAAGTTCAGCTGGGGTCAGGAAGTATTAATAGGGCACAAAATCACTTGTGTGCGGCTCAGAGCGGGAGCTAACGCAAAGGGCCTCATGCTGGTACCTGCCTTGGGGCTGTCCCAGGCAGAGGTGGGAGGTTTTCTAACACTGTGCCCCTTTTTTTGGAGTCACTGCATTGTCAGTCCCCTGCTTTTTGGAAAGCCACTTTTGTATCTCTGAGATAAGAGAGAACACACCCAAGATGTGCCCTAAACTCCCGGAAGGTGGGAACTGCTGCGGTGGTCCGTTGGCCACCGATGGGGCACAGTAGGAGAGCATCCTCTGCGCTTCCCATCTCAAAGGTGTCCCTGTCCCATCTGCTCTGTCTCCAGCATTCCCTGTAACAACTCCAGAGCCTCTGGTGTTGGTTACCCCACCGAGGTGCCTAACAGCCAACCGGACACAGCAAGGCGTCCTCTTGTCGTGGCTTCCTCCCGCTAACCACACCTTCCCCATTGACCGCTACATCATGGAGTTCCGTGTCGCAGAGAGGTGGGAGATCTTGGACGATGGCATCCCGGGGACCGAGAGCGAGTTTTTTGCCAAGGACTTGTCCCAGGTAAGCAGGGGCTGCCCACACCATACCTCTGGTGTTGCACTGTCTGCTGCAGCTCTGGGGAAGCTTTTGGGGTGGCTCGGTCCCTGTGCTGGGGTCTTCAAGGAGCTGGGCAAGGTTGGAGGCTGTGGTGGAGGCTGATGGATGTGCTTGGTGTTTCAGGACACCTGGTACGAGTTCCGGGTCCTGGCGGTCATGCAGGATCTCATCAGCGAACCCAGCAACGTTGCTGGCGTGTCCAGTACAGGTAAGGGGTGGCTCCTTCTTCTACCCCCAGCTGTGGGAGCATCTCTGCTTCTGCAGGTACCTGAGCTAGCGCTCAGGTCATGCATCAGTGCTTGCTTACGACAGCGATGGCTGGTTTTGTGCTTTTGCCTGAGATGCTCGGGCTGTGAGCTGGGCTGATGGGCACACGGTTACGATCAGTGTCCTGGGCACGCTGCTGGCCCCGTGCCACCTCCCGATGCAAACAGACCAGCAGCGCTCGGAGCGGGTGAGGACAAACCGCCCCATTTAGTCCTTCTTGTGGAGCACAGTGTTGTTGGGAGTCCGCTGGTGCAGAGTAGCAGCACATCTCAGCTCTGCGGGGTGCCTGGAGAACAAAGCTCCGACCGGGCACTGCGCAGCCTGGAAATGGGAAGGAAAGGTGGAGAGAGGGCAACGTAGCACTGCAGTGCAGAGTCCAAGGGGAAAAAAAGCTTTGCAACAGGAGACTGCACGCTCTGCAGCTTGCGTACGTACCCTGCACCCC